TGATCAAGCAGAACCTATACCTCAGCTTGAATCAAAGCCACTGATTCTCAAACCCAATCCCTTGTCCTTTGCCACTAAGGATTCCCTGTTTGCTTCAGTGCCGAGGCCTTCCTCTGCTGCTCCTTTAAATAGTCGTTGTAGGAGCCGTTGTGGTTTGAATTGATGCAGAAAGGGTAAGTTGAGCAGCTGGCCCTTGATTCGTGATTGATTGATCTGCTTCCCCTTGATTGGTGATGATTGATCTGCTCCCCCTTAATTGGTGAACTGGCAATCTCCTAACTTGATCCTTGACATCTCAACAAACAGATGTTCCCTCTCCTCGATTCATCAGCCACGTCACATAATGAACAAGAAGAATCTACCAATTTATCCCACTGTCTCAGTTTATCTCGTGTAACTATACTATTCAGTAGTACCAACCATGCAATAATAGTATAATACTGAACCGAGGAGGACAAATTAAAATTTTTTCCATATCACCCTAGCTGTACCACCCCACTGGGCTCTCACCCACTCTTATGGAGTTCCAGAATGTACTTATAGAGTATGCAGGCATAGGAGATCCATCCCACAACACCTCTCTGTTCCTCGCTTATGGAGCTTTGCCCCAATCAAATCTCTGAGTTTCACAATTAATTCTACACCACACCCAGGAACTACTAAAAGACATCTTCAGCGAGGAGATAGATCCATCTCCACTCCTATAGATCTTCATCAAGGCCACCCAGATCGTCCCCGACTCCATTAAGAAAAACAAGAGCATTCGCCCCACACATTGAGGGATTTCAAAGAAGGAGAAAAAAAAAACGGGAACAATTTCTTTTTTAATGTGTTGACGTGCGAGTAGGGGTGCAAATGAGGGAAGTTGAATCGAGTTTTACTTACCCCAGCTTGTGCTTGACTCGTTAACAAATGAGTTGAGTTCAAGCTCGAGCCGAGTCGAGATCGATCTAGGCTTGTTTAATAAATTCTTAGATCGTATTTGATACATTCATTTTGTATGTCGTGTATGGTACATGTGATTGATGTAACGACAAAAAAATCAAATATTCAACATTAATTAATCTTATATTATAATTTGTAGGTGTCATATTGTTTAGTTAATAAATTTTAACTAGTTCAAATCATGTTATGTCATAGTATCGAAACAATTTTGTACATAATTTCTTTATAGAATAAAAAATAAGGCATATTTCTTACATGTTCAACATGTTAAACTTCACATGATGTGAGATATATAGTTTAACAGTCCTATGTATTGTGAACGTCCAAATTAGATCGATTCGTCCATAAGTCGATGATCAAATTGGCTCTCAATCCACAACGTTGAGACATCTCATGAGCTCTAAATGAGCTAACTCACGAGTTGAGCTCAACAAGCCATCGAGTCGAGCTAGCTCGCGAGCTGAACATAGCTAAGCTCAAACTTGGCTCGTTAGTAAACGAATCGAGTTTCGGACGAGTTTTTCCCGATTCGAGCCTCAAATCCTTGCGAGTAGCTCGGCTCATTTGCAGCCCTATGTGCGAGCATGATTTTAGTTTAATGCTGATGTGGCAGTGGTCTAAATTTTAAACCCTTTTAATATTTTTATAGAAGATAGATAGATAGTTTGGTTTAATAAAATGTATCCGGTTTCAAAGAACTGTAGGATGAAAGTGATTTTTTTAATAATTTAGTTTGTGTCGCACGACAATATTTTTAAAGCACACGAAATTGTTGTGTATTATAACTTAGGAGAATAAGAAACGTGTCGTGCGAACAATGACAGTACATGAGTCATTCATGTATGGTGGTATACATTGAACGGTATTGTTATAGTTTAGTAATTGTCGAATAGGAGTATGACTCGTTAACATATGAACGTGAATATTTTTATTTTTATTTTTTTAACATATATCAAAACTATATATCATTGTGTAGGTCACATATATTTCTTTAGTAAAATAATATAAATTGGAGTTTTTTTTACATAGTCAATAGTACAATAAGGTCAATATGTCAAAGAGCGGATAACAACCACCGGCAGTAGTCCACCAATAGTCGAACTATCGATAAAAGGCATGTTTAGTCACAAGATGGACAACCTTATTAAAACTCCAAAGAGCAAAGAAACAAGCATAGAAGACGAAGCGTCGAGCAAGTCATTTGACACCTTCTAGTATAGCTCATCCAACATCATGATATAGGTCTCCTGTCAACGCCCGTTGCACCACCAATTGGGAATCACCATAGAATTAAGCCAACCAAATATTTACAGGTTAAGCACTAATTAATTGCATCACGCAAGAGCATTAATTCCACGAAGAATGAATCCTGAATACGATCATAAATCTTGCCAAATGCCAAGACCACCCATTGAAAGTTACATAAAACATAACCACCACAAATTCATAAAGTAAGCATCACAACTCTAACAACAAAACACCTCAACTATTTTGCCTTAGAGCCGCTTGCCTCTCCTAGCAATACAAAGTACCAAATGCCCTAGCTACATAAATGAAGAACTCGTGCTTCATGCCAGATAGATAATGAAAAGGGTGTATAAATATGCAGCTAAGTCGAGGAGCACCATTGACAACTAAATAGTGCTTGCAGTACCAATCCTCATAGCATATTATTATGAAATACAGACAACATAACACTAATCGAACTCCTTTCTCAAAAATTTAACAAACATAATCTGACACTCATCTAAAAAGCAAAAGGTCATTCATATTGATTGGATATTGGATGCTAGAATGAGAACTATATTAGGTTGAAGAAGACGCTATAGATGTGAGACTTCTACTTTCATCATGAATAATAATGTAAATATTGAGCCACCTCCATAAGTCAGCGCCTTTATTCGAACGCGAGCATCTAGAAAAGCACAGAATTGAGAAAATACTCACCTTTATAAGTTTGGGTTAAAAAAAAAGGATGAATCTTGTAAAATACGCTAATTAATCTGAGCTAAAATAGGTTGATTAAAAACTTCAAAATCCCGAAAACCCTACCCCTGCTTCTTTCGTAACAAAGAATTTTCCAAGCCACCCCTCTAGGGTCTAGACCAATCTTAGCCAAGAGATAATGTTACTTATCCAAAATTCCAAATCACACATTTTTAGTTATAATCATGTTGTTATGTTTTTTTTTTTTTTTGCATACTGGGAGGCAACAAGCCAAAGAAAAAGAGCGCAAAACGAGGTTACAGGTGGGGAGAAGTAGGAGGAGAGACTATGCGTCTAGGATAAGTGACGCCTCTGGAAGCTACCTGGAGAAGCGGGAGAAGTTCATTAGGAGGTGCTGCTAGTTCATTTACACCGTTGGGATAGACGAGGCTGTGCTTCGAGAGCCAATCCGCGACTCTATTCCCTTCTCGGTATACATGAACTAAATTCACAATCCAGTCTTGAGCAATCTGTCGTCTGATGGCCGTTAAAAGGGCTGCATAAGGATGTAATGGATCTGACCTGTTCTTCACAAGTTGGATCGTTAACTGTGAATCAGTCTCCACGATGAGAGTTCTGCATCCGTACTTCCATGCCAACTTTAGACCATGGTAAATAGCCCATAACTCCGAACAAATGGCTATACCGGAGCCCAATCCAGCCACAAAGCCACCGATCCAGTTGTTGTCGGCGTCCCTCAAGGTTCCCCCTGCTCCTGCAATTCCTTGACTAGCACCCGCTGCACCGTCCACATTGAGCTTACTCCAACCATGCGGGGGAGGCTTCCAACCAATCTGAGCCATCGAGCGATTCTGGGCGGAGCTCGCTCGCCCCAACAGAGGGTTCGGAGCGTTCCAAGCTTTCCACCACAAAGCAGCTCGGATCTTCACAGCCTGCAACATAGAAGGAGCGGACAGGGTCTTACCCATCCCATGGAAAACTCCATCATTGCGATTCTTCCACATGCTCCAGAGGGCAATGCAAAAGAATATGTTCCAAGGGAGGCCGGAGGGGGCTATATCCTCACAACAGAGGTTAGCATCCAGCCAGATGTTCCACGGACATGTGAAGAAGTTCTTAAGCTTCTCCGGCTGAACCGACCGATTCCAAAGATAAGCTGCCGGGGGGCAGTCCCTGAACAAATGCAGAAGCGTCTCCGTACGAGTAGGGCATCTAAAACAGGAGGAGTCTTGAGTGAGGTGCCGTTTAGCTCTCTCCTCGTTGGAACTGATCTTCCCCTGCACCACCAACCATACGAAGCAGCGAACACGCTCTGGTACTAGGAGGCGCCAAATTCTCTTCCAAAATTGCTAGTTCTCGTCATTGATAGGGTCTTGGAGCAACTGGTAGGCACTCTTGGTAGAAAATCGACCATTAGGCGTCGGCTGCCACATGAGCGTGTCTTCCTCGGCCGAGAGAGGATCTACCGCCCGCGTAGTAATTTGTCGAACTATTTCCATGGGGAGAATGTGGTCGAACTTCTCCGTCTTCCAGTTCCCGTCCTCGTCCACAAATTCCTCCACCAGCAGATCTTGATCCGCCTCTGGAATTTGATCCGTCGCCAGTTCTTGGAGAGGTACCTGCGATAGCCATATGTCAGACCAAAATTTAGTTCGGTTACCCCTATGAATATTCCAGGCGCATCCCTTTCTAAGAAGGTTCCCCGCCTTTGCTAAACTAGACCAAATAAAGGAACTTTCCTGAACCGGCCTCAGAAGATCGAGATGGGTTTGCCCTTCCTTCCCATACTTTGAGCGAAAAATTACGTATGGATGTCGTAATAAATATCTATAGATTTTTTTTTATCGACTCCGATTTCAACCCATCTCGCTTGCGTTTTCAAATTAAGGAAACCAAAAAAACTGACAGGTAACCCTAATTCCCTCTTTTATAAAGAACCCAATACGCCATCTGAGCTCTCTCAATTTCGGCCGGTGGGGAAGAAGGCACACGAGCGAGCTATCCGAAACGCAGATAGACAGCTGAACAGCTCTGCAAGTCAGGTTAACGAGGGGACGGGGAGTGGTGCGCTTCGTCGTCTTCGGGGTTTCTGGGGTTTGAGCTAGAGGATGGTCGGGGGAGGTGCCGGCGGGAGGACGAATGAGCAGGTGGTTCTGAACAGTACAAATGTCTTTGCTGCGCTCGACACCTTGAGGAAGAAGAAGAAGAGCTCGAGCTCGTCCGCTGCTGCTGCTGCGAATTCCGGGAAGGACCGCCACGGTTCGTCTAAATCGAAATCGACCAAGGACGGTGATAAGGAGTCCGAGAAGGTGTTCTGGTCGCCGGCGCCGCTGAACTCGAAATCTTGGGCCGACGTCGATGACGAAGATGATGACGATTACTTCGCGACTACTGCTCCTCCAGCTGTCGTCTGGGGTGAAGATGATGTTGGTGCCCAGAAGGAAAAGGAGGCTGTGGAGGTGATCTTGGTTTCTCTAATTTTTTGGGTTTGTTTGATTGTGATGTGTTGCTATATCAAGATGCTTACTTTATCATACTCTTGCTGTTGGTTTATTGTGAATTTTGGTTTAACTTGGAATCCGCTTGTGTGATTGTGGTGGTCTTGTTTACTTGACGTTATAGACATTGGGCGAATGGCTTATTGTGTTGGATTAAGCAGCTTTCACTGGTTCTCTCAAGGAAACTTCTGTTGGCCTGATGTTGAAAAGGAGATAACAGATTTTCTTATCTCATTGGATCTCTTCTGTCAAATATGTGGCTCTGCGTTTGTGGATGGATTTGCATAGAAAGGTTTCTGGAGGAAGAAATGAGGCATTTGCGATTGCTAAGTAATTCATGTTTGACTTAGACTATTGATGCAATCAGAAATAGAGAACATATCTGCCCACTTGTTAGTAAATGCACTTTTTCTAGTTTGAGAACTGACTTAACATGTGTCGCTCACTCGCTTGTATTGGATTCTGGGTGTGAGGTGGAGTTTTAGGATTTTTGGTCAAGGGACTTCGCCCGTGCTTCAGTTTGTAGTTTACGCACGGTAGTGTCGGTTTATGGATACATGGTTACACTTTCATGGTTGCCTTACTAGGAAAAAAGGCCGGAATCGGTATCACCTCTTGTCATTCTTGGAAAGTTTGGTACAATAGTTTTTTGTCAAATAATATGAATGTTGGAGGCTGCTAAGAGGATCTCATTACCTGGTCCATCCAATTGCTAACGGACTCATGTTGGTAGTCTTGCAGTGATGAATACCGAGGAACAATATTACTGTTTCAACCAGAGTTTTTCCCCTAGTGATGTAAGAAAAATATAGTCACATTCCTCAAGATCTTCATATCCTTGGAGCATATTTAAGTGATTTGATTATGTCTTGTGATTTTCTTGACTTATTGCAAGGTAGGTCTCTATATTGCTGCCAACTATGTACACCCTCCCAATATTGCTTTAGATACTTTGGGGAGCATTGTGAATTGTGTCTTTTGGTGATTAGCAGCATTAGTCCACGGTTGTTGGCATTAGATGATTTTATCAAATTCTGTTTTCTGAAGCACTTGCCCACTTGTTATTGGCTTTGGACAAAGGATGCATTCAGTTGTTTTGCAGTTGTTATTGTACATACAAAGTACACAGATACTTTATTCTCTTTTGGTCAGGAGCAGTCATCAAGTATCAGTATATCTTAATTGTGTTTTCTTAAAAATTAAAACCAGCTATTGTAGGCAGGGTTTTTAGTCATGAACCATGCGAGAACCCTGAGGATGAAAGAATATCCCGTAACGTTGGTATTAGATAGTCTTGCATCAAATGCAGCTCTTTGCTTTCCGAAATATGTTTTAAAATCTTATGTTTATACAATGGCGAAATAACTAGGATGTTAATATTCCAGTTCAGCAAATTTAAGTCAAAGTTGCTTCAGTACTCATGGTTTGTGTCTCTCTGTTGTTTGATACAACTCCAAGCTGTTTATATTGTCGTTTCTGTTTGATGATCGCGTTAGATATTGACCAGGATTTACAGCAACTAGTCTTACCTCAAATGCTGTTTGGTTTGCAGGAAAGTGAAAGTGATGAAGAAGGTCTTGATGAAATTGATGATGATGTGGAGGAGGAACATGAACCCGAACCTGAAACAGCCACCGAGGTGGAGCCAGTTCAGAAGCAACCTGAGACTTCCTTAGCTCCAAAAGAATCAGAAAGACAACTTTCGAAGAAGGAATTGAAGAAAAAAGAGCTTGAAGAACTTGATGCCGTTCTTGCCGAGCTCGGAATGGCCAAACCGGAGTCCAGTAGCCATGAAGTCGCTGATGGTAACTTCTCATAAAAGACTCTGTTTCTCTTCCTATTATAGTTTTAATATTATGTATTCACCACAAAAATAACATGTGGCTGCAACACTTTGTTCACCGATGATAAAACAATATTCTACATTTTTCACCAGATGTTTCACAAGAGAAGAAAGCAGACAACAACGGACAAGTGAAGAATGAAAATGCTCCAGCTGAGAGCAAGAGTGCCAAAAAGAAGAAGAAGAAGGAAAAGACCTCAAAAGAAGCCCCCAAGGATCCCGAGGGAGATGGCGCTGGAAGTAGCAACGCTGAAGCTGAAAAGTCTGATGATGCATCAAGCGGTGTTGATGTAAAAGAGCGGCTGAAGAAAGTGGCGGCTAAAAAGAAGAAATCAAGTAAAGAAGTAGATGCCGCTGCCAAGGCTGCTGCTAGTGAGGCTGCTGCCAGGCGAGCAAAGGTTGCTGCCGCAGCAAAGAAGAAGGAGAAGTCTCACTACAATCAGCAGCCTGTGCGGTAAGGCAAGCAAGAGAAAATTTTGTCCTCGGTTCTCGTCTTTGATTTTGATGATGCAAGTAGTACCTCAGGCTAAGGATTTATGGCGCGATATCGATTGCAGCTTTATTTTGAGAAGGGATAGAAAGATACTTCTTGGTTTTAGTTCTTCACTTGTCCTGGTTTTGTTAGCAATGCTGAACCTAGTGCTTCCTTAAATAGCCTAAATATGAAATGATAGGTTTCATGGTTCATTTCTTTGTAATTTTTGCTATTAGTGACATTTGCTGCTGATTTACTCTTGAGTCAACTCATTCGCTCGAAACGAGCCAGCTCACTAGTTAAACTCAATGAACCACTGAGTCGAGCTAGTTCGTTCGTGAGTCTCATGAACTGAAATGATGAGTTCAGTCTTGACTCTTGACTCACTTGCTACCAAGCCGAGTTACTAATGAGCTTATTCCGAATCCAGTGTAGAACTGCTCGTGAGCGCAGCCCTAATTTGAGTAATTTCCTCCCCTTCCCTTCCAATTACGCGAAGTTCACGGCAACATCTAAAATGAAAGTATGAAACTTCTCACTTTCCGCCAGGCCCACAAGGCCCGGCCCAATTCCCAACGTCCCATCCCACACTGGAAGTGTTGAGCTACTTAGGCCCAGTTTTGGCCCACGCGAGGGGAAACCGAAGCAGAAAATCCTCGCAAATCGCTCGTTTCCTCCCCGAAGAACCCCCGCCGTTTTTCAGTTCCAGTCGTAAGCATTCGTCGGCGCCGCCCTTACCTCTATTCACCTTCTCCTTCCTGCCGTTGCTTTCCCTTCCCGCGCTTCATTCATTTTCTCCCTTCAGGCTTGAGAGCTCAGCTGATTGGTTCCCCTTTTCGAAACCAGCAAGTAAAAAACCCCGCCTTTCCCCGTACATGCAGCGTTTGACACGAAATTTCAACTCAGCAAGAGCTTGATTTGGTGCTTCTCTTCTTAGCGAGGAATTGAAGAGTTGCTACTTTGCTGGTATCTCGAGGGTGACCCGTTTTTGTTCAGAAACTTGATTTGGTGGTTGCTTCTTTACTTGGGTAAAGGAAGGAGATTTGAGTCATCAGCAAAGAATGCTGGACGAGAGTAAATTTGATGTGCATTTGAAACTATGGGCGCTCAGAATCCCTCGAGAGCTCTGCAAGGTAGCTACTCGCATCCTCAATGGGTAAGCAAGCAAACGAGATTGCAAGTCTTCTTGTTGTTTGGAGTTGGTTTTTTGTAGTGTTGATTCTAGTTGGTTTGAAAGGCTGCTTACTAATTACTTGGTACTGGTTCATGTTTTTGTTGTTGTTTGGTTAGATACTTGCTTGATAAGCCTCGAGTAAAACCGATTACAGAAGACCCAACGAGTGATAAGAACAGGTACATGATATTGTCTGAGAAGGTTGAAACCCCTGGTAAGTGTCTGTGCATACTGATCTTTTTAGAGAGTTTGTTGCTATTGTAAGAAAGTTCTGAATTTGGTTTCATCTTGTTCTCTGCCAACCAGAGCTACCTGAAATCCCAGTTGAAAAACTTGATGAACTGAAGAAGTTATGTGAAATGGAAGTCGTTCCTTACTCCTTGACGCTTGGGTATTCTTACTGGAGTGCAGGTTGGTGCTTCATGTGTTCTGTTTGCTGCATTGCTTTTACGTTTCACTTTTTCGTGCGAACTCGACTGTTGGACTCGAGTTGATTAGAGAGGGCAAATGCACTAATTTGCCTATTATGTATATGTGGAAGTTGTTAACAGTGGTTATCTTTGATCTCAGATCATATTCTAAAGCAGGTTCTTCCAGCTGGAGTTGAGGTGCCTTCGTCGTTCGAGACAATAGTTGAGTATTTATCATTCTTAGCTTTCCATTAGACTTAGCAAATGACATTGCATATACCTGAGTGCTTTTAGAGAGATAGCTTGATATTGCTGATGTTTGTCGTGGATATGTTTTAGCATGCACTGCAGTAGTTTAGCTTCATCGATAGGAGGTGGAACCTAAGCCCTGACAAGTTTCATCTCTGCTCCTTCTATCTGCAGGTCACATTGCTCATTTAAATATACATGATGAACTGCTACCATTCAAGGATGTCATTGCCAAAGTTATTTATGATGTAAGTTTCTAGTTTACCCCAAAAAAAGCTTTATTAAAAACTGCACTTCATTCATTTCGTATGCTCAACAAATAAATACTGGTGCCCAAGCTTTAAGTTATTGTAGTTTATGATGGAAATGGTCTCGACTTCAATGATTATTCAAGGAAATTTATTATCTTTGTTATTAGTGAAATAACATTTGTCTAGGATGTTATTATATATAGTGCAATTTGAGTGTATTTTCTAGTGCTATTGGCGAAAACACTTTTTGTTGATTCTGCTTGGGTTCTTTGTCCGCTGCTTTTCATATATTTCGATCATATAATGTTTGAATTGGAAAAAAGAAAAAGAATGTGATACTTAGATATGTGGATTGTGGCAGAAAAATCATCCCAGGATCAGAACTATTGTCAATAAAGTCGGATCTATATCGAACGAGTTTCGAGTTCCCAAGTTTGAGATCCTGGCTGGAGACAGTGATATGGTCACGGAAGTTAAGCAATATGGAGCTACGTTCAAACTTGACTACGGTTTGGTTTATTGGAATTCGAGATTGGAGCATGAACACATAAGACTAGTGTCTCAATTTCGACCTGGGGAGATCATATGCGACATGTTTGCTGGAATTGGTCCTTTTGCTGTTCCTGCAGCACAGAAAGGATGCATTGTTTATGCAAATGATCTGAATCCCGACAGTGTTCGTTATTTGAAGATCAATGCCAAAGTTAACAAGGTTGATGATCTTGTAATTGCCTTTAATATGGACGCTAGGAAATTCATGGCCCAGCTTATGACGCTGCCAGCAGCTCATGAAGACAAACCAGTGGTCTCTAAAGTAGAGACTGTTGAAGATATGAAAAGAGACCAAGAGCAAGTGACAGGTAACATGTATTCATATTGGTATGTATTATTGATCCCATTTGTGTTACTTTTCTCTCAAAACTTCTGTCATATTCTGTAGTTGGGGCAAAGTATTCATCTGATGCTGCATCCACAGCTTCTGTCAAAGGGACTCAAGATTATTGTGGTGAAGGTTGGTAAAGAACAGAGTTTGATTTTGTGGGTCACTGAAATGTCTGTCAGCATCTTGAATGCTAATATTATTATTTTCTTATTGTAGAAAATGGGAAAGACCTTGGAGCGGCGGGTAAAGGTAGGAAGAACAAGAGGATAAAGCTCTCCGAGTTGCCCAATCTCAACACTTGGGAGCATGTTGATCATGTGATTATGAACCTCCCTGCTTCTGCCATAGAGTTTCTTGGTACATGCAAATAACAATTATTGTCCTGTGTTTATTATGCCTGTTGTCTTTTGGATGGGTGGTAACTGGTAAGATGTTTGAGATGGAAACCCTAATCTAATGCTTCTTCTTCTTCTTCTTCTTCTTCTTCTTCTTCTTCTTCTCTTTCAGATGCGTTTAAGAAGCTAATCCCCAGGCTATGCTGGCAGGGTGATCTTCCCTTGATTCACTGCTATTGCTTCATTCGGGCAAATGAAACCCAAGAAATGATAATTAAGGTTATTTATTTCTGATTATGTTTATTGTTTCTCCTTTCTTCAAACTCTCTCCTAGAAACTGCAGTTTTAAGTGTCGGTCTGCTGATAAATCATCAGCTACCCTTTTCATGCGGCATTCTTGAGGGAGTTGATAATGCACCGATTTTCTCCATGTAGCATTCTACCAAAAAAAAAAATTACAATTCCTTTTCCAGGTGGCCGAATCTGCCCTGGGTGCTCAGATAAAAGATCCTATATTGCATCGAGTTAGGGATGTTGCTCCGAACAAGGTAAAAAAAGAAAAATGTGAACACCTCCATTTCGCCCTCTTGCTTGTGATAAAATAAACTTTCAGAATCTTGCTACCTTTTCTCGGAAGCAAGTAGGGTTTTCTCATAGAAATCCTCACCACGTTTTCCCTTAACCATGCACGCAGGCTATGTTTTGCTTAACCTTCCGATTGCCAGAAGGATGCTTCACAGACGATGCCTCCACCTGACTTGCGACCACAATTTAGAGACTTGTTGATCAATCTACGAGCTAAAAAGCATCTCCGCCATGGTTTTTGCGAGTCTAGTCACCTAAGTTGTTGCTATCAAGTACCCTTTCCAGCTACACCAGAGCTTTTCGACATGTGTTTCAAAGTTTTCCCCAGGAATGTGATTCAATCTGTAGTCAGGTCACAGTCCATACCCTTCTTCTGATGCTGTTTCTATTTTTGGAACCCACATTCAAGTTCCATTCTCATGGAGGGTTAGATGGATGGGCTTATAGGCCTCGTGGGAGAAGTCAGGAGGCAAAATGTGAACATGGGATAGGATTTGCTGTTGGGTTGGAAGAATATACTGTCGAAACTAAAGTCCCTTTTGCCTCTGCAAATATATTTATGGTGATAATGAAGCCCTTTGTGTACGGCTACCACCACCATGTTAGGGAAAGGCCACAACTTTGAGAAGAAAGGGGGAGCCAGAAGATAACGAGGCACGTAGACTGAAGCTGGAAAGTTGGTTTTGTAAAGAAGGCGTCTTTCCCCTAATTCCTATCCATCCTTATGGGCAAAAAAATTGGAAAGAAAGATTGCATAAAATATTGACAGGGTCATCAGTCATCAGTTCAGTCAATAGCCTTTCAGCTTAGTTAAGCAAAGTAATGACCATGACCATGTCTTCCACTTCTGAATCTTTGTTTCTTTTCTACTTTGTTGTCTTCTATATATCCTATGCCAAGTTGTAATTGGCCTTTTTCTCTCAGGAGGCAATTGCAAAAAGGGTGGCTTATCATGGATGATTGGCAATGGCTTAAGGGTTTTTGTTAGGTCTAACCCTAATTAAGAACCAAGTAGCTAGGTAAGGTAAAAATGTCAACTTAGGACGTTCTCCCAATTGTGTCTCTAGTGAGTTGACATGTTACACACAACAAAGAAGAGATTGACGAGTTAGATGACCAGTGTCGTATAATATGAATTCTTTTTCGAAGATAATTCAAAATCGAGATCGACCATCGATTAATCATAATCAAGGAACCTTTTATGTGGATTGCAATATAGGAGTCGATCTCAAGTAACATGATATGGTATCCATTGATAAAGATTGAAATCTAAACCATATAGATACATTACATTAACCATCCTATGAACAAGACCTAAAATTCGAGGTTTGAATCAAGGCATCCAAACTCGAGTAACCACATTGCATCTACGCAAACAATCGAGCGATGTTGGTACATTTCAACCTATAGTTACCATTGTACGTTTCTTCCTTCAAGATATGCAAAGAAGGCGACAACCAAGTGAGTCAAATTACAGAACCGAGTTCAATCATACATGATAGTCCTTAAGCAATCCACAAGGACTGATTTTGCCACCACACTTAGCCAACTTGATTCGTATACTAATCAACTATTGGTTTGCCAAGGCAAATGTTAACTCAGTCGGTCAGCAATCACTTCCTATTTCACTGACTTCACTCACCGTCATTAGATAAAGTAAAATATAATTAAGGGGACTTTTTGTCTAAAGTAAAGATACTTATAAACAATTAAGCATACTTCGCAATTAGCACACCCAAGTTGGTAGCTGATCATTTCTTTGCTTTCGGTAAAGATGAAGATAGAGATGAAAGCTGATTGTATTAAACATCAGTGACCCAAAATATAGAAAAAAGACCGTCTTTGTACAATGGTAGCCAGAGAAAATTGCAATATTAATTAGGCAAAATAAGGCTTTTATTTTATGATAGTATTTGTAAGAAATACAGATCTTGGACACTCTCGATAACTGTAACAAGATTGGGATATAAGAGAACTGGAACTGAGACTTAGAATTAGAATTAGAATTAGAAATTAAGAAAGAAGTTTTATGGAAGGATTTGGGGAAGAACATGAATTGCGAAATAGGAACTAGGAGAGAAAAGGGATAAAAAAAATATTTAATAATGGATGCAGAGGCACCCTATCTTTCATTCAGCACCAACCGGGGTTCGGAAAGTCCCTGACAATCATACAAGATCCAATAGTTCAACATAGAATCGTTACTAGGAACTACATGAAAACCAAACGGGAGATCATGCCCCCTACTAGGAAGGAAATCGGCACATCTATTACCCTCTCTATACACATGGTCTATAAAAACACTCCAAGACCGAGAAATGAGCTCTCTGAATCTCGAGATGATAGCTGCACTATGGTGGTCACGGTAATTTTCTCGTCTCAAGAGTTGTACCGCGCACAGGGAGTCAAGTTGGACGTGCACCCTCCTGTATCCTTCATCCCAATCCACCTGAAGACCCTCAACAGCACCCATCAACTCAACCTGGGTTATAGTGCACGAACCCAGGTTCAAAGCAAACGCTGTCTTACAGCGTCCTAAGTGATCACAGATCAGGCCACCAGCAGCAGCATGGCCCGATCCAGGTAAAACGGAGCCGTCGGAGTTGAGGCAAACCCACTCGGGAGGAGGCGGCTTCCAGTTGATCTGCTCCTCCGTTCTGGTGGGGGGACTAGGCTTATGAATGAGCCTGTCCTTGTCCAAAGCGTTCCTCACTACAGGTATCTAAGCTTGGACTCGCTGCATGAAGGTTCAGGTGTGAAGATCTTGCCTGCAAAGACACGATCATTCCTGGTCCGCTAGAGGGACCAACAAGTAATGCCGAAATCAAGGTTGTTGTGCTGGTTGCGAAGGTTGCCGAGTAGCCAATCTTGCAGATTAGTTCCGAAAAACTGTTGGTGGTCAGAAAGGGGGATAGTCTGCATCCATATTAACCGGGAAAAAGTACAGTCCCGTAACACATGCAGGACTGTCTTGGGGTCTTCTCTGCAATGCTGACACGCCGTGAAAGTCGTGAGATGGTGTCGTCCCCCCCCCCCCCCCCCCCGATCACCATTGGTCAGTTGCAGCTCCTTTGCTGCCAGCCAGAGGAAGTGTCGAATTCGAGCCGGCCCCTCCCAATTCCAGATAGTGCGCCAATCCAACTGCCGAACTGTGTCCTCCGTGCTCGTGGCGATGGCATATGCCGAGCGTACTTTGAAGCGTCCATCATCCTCAAGCGCCCAGATCGCCACATCCTCACCCGAGCCTGCCACTGGTGGTTGAACGCCAATGACCTGCGACACAGCTGCGTCAGGTAAAACAAGACGAAGCAGAGGGATGCCACACTCACCTTGAGGGTTCACCAAAGTAGCCACGACCTGGACAGGGTCAATCTCAGAGGGCGACTCCACATAATCCAACAACACCTTCCCGTTACCCACCCATCGGTCCATCCAGAAGCTCGTACTTTGTCCGTCCCTAACCCACATACCCATTCCCTCAGCCATGATGGGCCAGGCCAAGGGATAAATGTAATATGTTTTGTTTATTGATTTCTAATTAATTTCAACGTAAAGACTGAGCTACACAAGGATTCGTGGTTTGTGATGCCTTGGGGATATTTGTTATGTTTAAGGATTTTATTATGCAGGTCTTGTAGATCCGTTTCTGGTGGAATTGGTAGTTTTTTGGGATGCGATTCACTGGTGCTCTTTGAAGAGTCTTGCTGAATTGAAGTTCTGTGGAGATGCAAAGGTAGTTATCTAGAAAATTCAGAAGATGGATATACGAGATGTGAAGGGAGGACGGATTCTTGAGGAGATTGCGAGGCTTCGACATCAGTACCGAAGTTTTGGGGTTTCCTTTGTTGAGAGGAGTAACAATCGGGTGGCACATGATGTGGCCAGGAAGACTCTTTCTTTGTTGCCTGCGATTGTAGATAGTTTTGATTTTGAACGTTGGTTTTTACTTAGTTTGTAAACTTTGCTAGCTTTTTGCCTTGGAAATACAAGTGATCTATTGGTAAAAAAAAAAGAGACTGAGCTACAATATATAGATGGTGACATAACCGTAATCGACCTAACCTATTAGAATAACCCAGGTACTCTTAATCCTAATAACTATGTTTTTAAGAAGAATTCTTGAGCCCCAACCATATTACTACTTGGCTACTTCACGGTCTCGGACTCTCGCCTCTCAGTGTTGCTAGACTGCGAATCTTACGATCTAATATTATAATTCGAGACAAGATTACTCGAGGTGGCCTTGCAATAAAAAATGTCTAACTATGAAAAGGTCAAAAAAGGGTCAACGCGACATAATAATCATATTGAATGTATGTATTACCGCAACAAATATGTCAGAAAGTTATATTGATTGATTCAATTTTATAACCCTGTCAATAGTAATGAGAATATTTTTCTCCTATACGAAATGAACTCAAAAGTAGGGATGGCAATTTACCCACCCATGG